AATATTTTGTATGACGGATTGTTCGATTCGGCGCAATCACTGTGACGAGACGTGACTGATGTGTCTGAATCGACCTTTAGATCGGCAAAGTGTACCGCGCACTGACTCGGTCTCATCGGCAGTTTCGTATCAGCAACCGTTTGAAATAGACTTAAATTATCTTAAATGAGTTCTAGTTCATCAGAGTCTAAAGAAGATGTTATGATTGCCTAGCGTGTAATAAAATGCAAAAACAAAAATATTGGATTCATAACATTAATTTAAAACATTTTCTTTTCGATTGCTGTCATGATAGTATCTATTTTGGGGATCATATAATATTATATTTTTCCGCACACTTTCTATTTAAAGTTCGTCGGCGATAGTCCGTTTATAAAAATTCCGACGTGTACCTTTCTATGCGTAAAATTACTACTAGACAACGACGTCAGCATCAGACCATTCGGCAGTTTTTGCCCCTGCTATCATTCTCCGCCGATGCCGAGACGATCTGACCGGTCCGAGTCGAACGTTCTTAAGCGGTGCGCGATGGTTCATTTATTTTAATGTATAGCAAAATCTGCTGATTGCTCGTAGCCGAGCCGACCGATCCGAGTCGATTCAATGCGCGGCCTCCTTGGCTTTTTCCATATATCCTCTTATATCTTTCTAAGTTTTCAGTTGCAGTATTTGCCCTCAGTCTACTAGGACATCCCGCCACTATTTGTTGCAATAATGTATCCAAATACACTCACAACTTACAACGACTGCTATAGCTAAATGGTTGAGTTTACCGAAAGTACAAGCTGATTATAGCCGCGAATGTCAAACATGGAACAAAAAATTTCGGTTTAGCAGTGTTGACATGTTTTTATAATGTAGATGTTGTATGCTTCAAACATAAAAAGATATAGGTATAGAAAAGTACATTTTGTTTATATTATGTTATGAATTCTGAAATTTTTTATTTATATAAATCAAGAATGAATAAATATTTGTTTCTTTGGAGATTCATTGCAGTCAATTATTAGAAATTTTTTAGCAATTGCTCTTTGATAGATTTGGCAATCGTCAAATCAGCAGTTGCCAGATGTTTGCAATTAATCTTGAGAGACAAATATTTACTCGTTATTGTTTCATGTAAATTGAAAATTGCAGAATTCATAAAATGGTATAATCATATCTATTATTAAAAGCTTTCTCTCTTTATATTTGAAGAATAGGTACACCATATGCATTATAAAAACAACCCAACACTGCCAAACTTGCAAAAAAATGCCTCGTGACGTCATCATGTATATGGCGAATTGTAACTTTGTACAAAGAATCCCGGTACTTTTCTTATGCAAAAGTGGTATTAGTTAAATTCGCTGAAACTTTGCAGATAGATAGCTTTGGTCATGCTCATATATTTGAATACTATACAGGCTGTTAACAAATCACCCGAACAATCTTCAGATGATTCTGCATGAAAATATGTCAGTGTTGAAATGTTTCTTACAAACTGATGATTTATTTATTGAAATGAAATCTGGTGTGTTTTAAGAACTAGTTATTGCACATTTTTTGACATACAATTAAGCATTTTATATGCATTATTGGTACGCATACCGGTAACGGTTTCAATTTTTCTCTCTTGCGTTTTGCCTATATATGTAAAATTGGGTGATAATTACACGTAACATTTATTCAGTCAAAAACAACCAATGACGGGTTAATACGTAATTTCGTATCCACATTAAACAACACTATCGGTGACATATCAGGAGCTTGGAAGAGTAAGGTCGAACTCGCAAAGTGGACGTTTCAAAAACAGTCTCATCCTTCTCACAAACCTTTAAAGAATGCTTGTGTATATTTAAAAAAACATGTTTTGGCCTTAACATGCTATAAGAAATAATATAGCAATCCATTTAAGTCAGAAACTGAACTACATAATCGTCTAAAAGAGCAAGGGCGAACACACAGGCTTTCGTTGCATTTTCGTTCAAAGTTCAACCCTTCTCTGTACCCCTATCAACACGCCGGTGTTTTTGTAGTTGGTGAGAGGTAGTCTCAGATATATGCGTTCTTCTTGATTTTTTGAATACCATAGTGTGCTTGTTGTAGTTTTAATTACTCATATTTCAAGAAAAAACCGACGTTACATTAGAAAGTAGTTTTGTTTTTTTTTTAATTTATTCTCAAAATGAACGCCGTGAAAACTACAAGGCGGAAGCAAAAGAAAACAGAACAATTGCTTCTTAACGTGTGTCAAACTAAACGAAACTGTGGTGAAGCGTACGTTTCAAGAAATACAAAGAAAACTGTATCTGCGAGCACAATCGGACTGCCATGTAAGTGTCGTAAAATGTGTTTTGAAAAGTTGGACATGAACAATATCAATATGATTTTCAATAACTTTTGGCAAATTGGCAACTACGATAATCAAACCAATACCTTTCAAAAGAGGTAAGTTGGAATAATTGTAAAAAGTCTTTATTTACTAACAGAGCTAGTAGGAAGCTTCGGACCAAAGAATATAATGTTTCAATAAATGGAGAAAGAATATATGTTTGTCGTCAGGCTTTTATTAGCATCCCTGGCATAAGCGAAAAGAGTTCGCGTTATTTTAGACAAGCAGACCACCACGAACTGTGCTGGGTGATAACAGAGGGAAGCTAAGTCCAGGAAATGAAATAAATGGATATAGAAAGCAGTTGGTCAGAAATCACATTGAATCACTCGTTACAGTTTCCAGTCACTTTCAAAGTCCTTTTCGAAAATATATGCCACCGGGTTCGTCAATTACTGGAGTATATGGAGCTTATATGGAATGGCTAAGAAACACACATCCTGACCTCCTTTAAGTTTTGTTAATAAAATAAAACTTGTTCGCCCTTACTATTCTAACATGTTTTTAAACTTTATAGTTTTCCAGAAACGATTTATTGTAGTTCGCCTTTACGCTTCCAAGCTCCCGATATGTTCAAAAGAATTTTAATTTTCAGTAATTTTCATTGATGAACCTAACCGATTATGTAAGATTTACGAATATCCGATATGGAACTTTAAAAAGATTATAGTTACGGGATCTGTCAGTTTAACCACAAAAATGTAGATACATTAATGTCCTGAAACAAATAATTCTTGTTAAGTAAACAAAATTGTGTTGACTACTCTTCTAAAACTCGTAAAATGAAAATCTTCTATAGCAAAATCTCGCGTAGTAAAACTTATAATCTATCCTATTTGGTATATTTTACCTGAAGCGATGTAAACAACGCCCTCTGTAGAATGAAAACATCTCGTGGTGCTTAGAAGACCATGAGATGACGTGGATCGTGATGATAAATTTGCGTTGGGTTGCTCGACGCATGGAATTCTCCTTTCAACTGTGAATTTTTAAATCGTGATGTTTTTCTCTCTACTCTGATGATGAATAAATTAAAATATATCAGCGACAATTCGAACGATATTTGGTGTTATCTCATAAAACCCAGTTGTCAGTATTCTGCAAATGAAAAAAATGTAGCTTTTTGTCAAAAATTTCATAAGGAAAAAAAAAATGTTCACTTTTATGACATTTTTGTTGGAGAGTCAAAAAGCACAACTGTGAAAACTTAACTGCTAAATTGGATTCAACAGAAAGACATTTACATGAAACTGCAGTTGTCTCTCTTATTCACTTCATTTGACACTCATTTCTTCAGTTCAGAATATAACCCTCCATATCTTTAATGGCAACAGGTGAAGAAACCGTGACAATTAAATCGGACGAGTGCTACAAAATATTTTAAATATCAATATTTATCACTAATTATATTATAAAATATATTCCCTTTAACGTACTTTCTTTGCCGAGCTTTCAACGCTCCGTACGAATTTTTCAATTGTTAAAAATTTCGCCCGTCAGTTTCTCGAGAACCTTCATATCTTTCTCTCACTGCTTCCACATTGTACCCCGATTTTACCTAAGAAATAAAATAAGTCACATATGTCCAGGTCGGGTGAATACAATGGCTGGTACACTCCTTTTGCTCTGGATAAAGTTTTGGAACAATTTATGTGCAATGACAGTCATCGATGTTCTGGAAAATCTGTATTACTATTAATTCCAGACGAACTTTTATTAATGAGTGTACCATCTTTCTGGAGGTTGTCTTCGGTAGTTACACTCCTCTCCTTAAACCCAGTCATAAAGTTGTGTGCGTGATAAAGATTCACTTTCTTTAACATCACATGAACTTCTGTCAGTTTTTTTGTTTCACAAGAAACTTGAGGTTAACTAATTGAACATTGCATTCTGACAAGTGCAAGGTCTTTAACGGGCGATTGCTACAGCGATACTGAACGATTTACAACAATTCTTGCAATTTTTCGTTCCTTTTAAGGTCACGTCTGAGCGGCAGACGGATCGTTGAAACATGACATTTGACATGAAACAACATGTAAGATGACAATTGACGTTTTACGTTGAATGTCACGGTGTATGTGAAAGACGTTATGACATTGAGCCTAAGCTGCTTATGACATATTAAAATGATGAAATTATTTTTGGAAAGGTTAATTCTTCTACTTTTGTGTGTTTTAATTCTCGATGAATCCAGATTTGTTTTACGGCTCCCATCAAGTAATCTTTATTACTATAAATAGAAAAAAAGGTAAATCATAATTAAAATGAAAAATAAATATACTCGAATAATTCCTGGGCCACTAAAATTTATTTTAATCATTCAGTTTAGTATACAGCTTAAGCTTATATTTTTTTAATACTTATGTTTTGAAATCGCGTAATTGTCGCTGACATATCACAAGTTACAAGTCAGTAGAGATAGTGCATACATTACCAGCTGATATTGTTTCCCGGCTCCGAGTTGAGACCTTTGGGTTGGGAATAGACAGGGAGAGAAGAATATGGAATCAGCTGAGCAGGCAAGCCTGGAGGTGGCATAGTGAATACACCATAGTGATTTCTCACCCAAGAACCTGTCTATTGTATACATACATTAATGATAACCAAAACAAGAAAAACAACTTGCCACATACACAACTATTTATTGTTATTATAGACTAAAGTAACATCATGTCATTAAAATCAGTTTTAGTATCATATACTGATAAGAAATTTAAAGGTGAATGAAATACTTCATATTTTACGCTAGATTCAATGAAACTTACTCAGACTTATCGCTAGAATTTTGCCTCTTCATGGACTTCAAAGCTTTCTCTCTAAGCTTTTTCTCGTCCTCATTTACCACTTCAGATTCGCTATTGTCCGAGTCATCGCTGTCCTGCTTCTTCTTCTTATGCTTCTTGTGTTTCTTGGTATGCTTCCTCTTCTTTTTGTGCTTCTTATCCCTCTTCTTCTTCTTAACCTCTTGTTCGTCGTCGGAGTCACTGACAGATTTCGTAGCTTTTTTCTTGTGTTTTCTCTTCTTTGATGAATCGTCGTCGCTCTCGGATGAACTATCCTTCTCCTTCTTGTGTTTCCTAGACTTTTCCTTTTCGGACTCATCAGAGCTGTCTTGTCGCTTCTTCTTCTTGGCGGGCACGTCGCTCTCGCTGGTATCCCTCTTGGATTTCTTTGATTTTTCTGAACTCTTTGATCGCCGCTTCTTTTTCTTCTTATCCTCTTCTGAATCGGAACTTTGGTGGCGCTTCTTTGAAGACTTCTCTTCGCTGCTGTCCCTCTTCTTCTTCTCTTTCTTCTTTTTTACTTCTACTTCTCTCGAAGATCTCTCGTCCTCGCTCTCACTGCTGCTGGAGTCCCGTTTCTTTGGCTTCTTCTTCGTTCGGACTTTGCGCTTGTCTTTTCTGGTATCTTCGTCACTTTCGGACTCGCTGGAGGACTCTGACTCACTCTTGGGTGGCTTCTTGGTAACCTTCTTCGGTTTAACTTCCGGCTTCTCCTTGCTGGCTTTCTTCTTATCATCCTTCACGCTCGTCGCCTTAGAGGGCTTTGGAGGAAACTCGTGGGCCTTGATGAATGGCGACGGAGTTCTCGACAAACTCCTAGAATACCTCGGAGGACCATGTGGCGGTATCGGGTAACTCTCCTCGGGACTGATACTTCTAGATTTCTTCTTTTCCTTCTCTCGTTCCTTCTCCTTTCTTGATTTTTCCTCGGCTGCTGCAGCTTCGGCCTTCTTCTTCCGCTCGCCTTCTTCTCTTTCTTTCTTCTCGTGACGATTAATCTCCTCTTCTATCCTTCGCCTGGCTTCCTCGACTTTCTTCGGAGGTGGCTCGGGATGACGATCATCCTTCCTTGGCCGTTGGTTTCGATTGTCTCTTCGATCGTCTCTCTTCTGTGGACTAGGGCTAGGTCTCCTGGGACGTGATCTGTCTCGTGGTGGTGAGCGTCTCCTTGCGCTGCCCCTTTCTCGAGAACGTCTCCTGGATCTCGATCGACGATCACGCTCTCTCGACATCCTTCTATCACGAGAGGGAGAGGGTCTCCTATAGGAATTCCTATTGCGGCTTCTGCTACGGCGAAACCTGAAAATAAAAACCATTTTATTCATGCTGTTTTAGTGTGTACTTTTTTAGTATACTAAATAATGTAATGTCAAAATATAAGATGTCTATGTATTAAAAAAATATCTATTTTCTTACCTATTTCTACTATGGCTTCTAGAACGTCGTCTGGGACTGCTGCGTCTCTGTCTGCTATTTCCTCTCCTACGACTCCTACTTCTGCGGCCGTAGCTTCCTCTAGGTCCAGGCCCTCTCCTCGGACTTTGACGCCTCGACATGCTACGTCGTCTCCTATCTCTGCTAGGGCTTCTCCTACCCCTGGATGGGCTTCGTCTGGAAGTAAAAATCTATCTGTAATTTGAAGAATATATTAAAAATCCTTACAAAAACTTCCACAGATATTGACGTTAACCAATAACGTGGCCTCCTTGAACTGGGGTTGTAGAAAATCAGCTAATGAAATATAAGAATATAATAATCAGTAGTCATTAAAAATGTATATGTTAAGTAAGACCATAAATGAACGAAAAACAAACAAAAAAAAACAAAGTGGGAAACAATAAGAGTTTCGAAGACATAGAAACTTTGAAATATTTGAAGCTAATATATGATATAAGTTAAGAGTGCATTTTAAATGAAGAATCGAAAAGGTGAATTTCGCAACGATTATACGCAATAAAATCTACCTAAATAATGACATGACGAAACAAAAGAGGAAAATATAAAGACAAATTCGAAAACTTGAGAAAATCAGCAATAAAATGGGAAGGAGTGGAGATGAAATAAAGTAAACGAAATATTCTCCAAAAAACTAACGAGACAACCAATGGGGAACAGTAAAGACAATAAATATGGATAAACAAGAACATACAGGGTGGTGAATCGTCAAACGGTCCATAGGAAATTCAATGGGAAATTCTAAGTTGTTGAATTCCTGCTTCCCTAATTATTTTACAACAAAATTCATAGGAAACTATTTGTAAAGAACTAAAATATGTATTAAAAACAAATGTTAAAATCGTTCTACGAATTAAATGTATCCCAAAATTTTGTAAAAATATAAAACATTTTTTAGGCCCACCCCTTAAAGTCAGACCACACAAGGTACAAGAATGTGTATGAGATGTTGCGTTTGGTCGTATTTATGTTTCTAATATTTGACATTATTTGAATTGCCAAAATTTTAATTTAGTGATTTATTGTTTAAAAAACAACATAGTTTATTAAAAAATGTATTCAGTCGAGGAGAAAGTAGCAATAATAAAAATGTTTTATTCTGGCAATAGTGCGCGAATTGTCAGTTCTTTATTTAGCGTAAGATATCCCAATAGACCAATTCCAAGTCACTCAACAATTCTAAGGATTTTAGAAAAGTTTGAAAATACTGGGACCGTGATTTCTAATTGTACCTGTACAAACAATATTGCTGAAGTACCAAAAAATTTAGAAAATCAAAATGAAATAAATGTATTAACAGCAGTTGTAGAAAATCCTAGAATAAGTTCTCGGACCATTGCAGATCAGTTAAATATTCATAACTCTACGGCTTTAAAAATTTTGAAAAGGAATAAATTCCGTTCTTATAAATTCCAATGTCATCAAGAACTAAGAGAAGGAGATGCTGAAAGACGAGCGGAATTTTGTTATGAAATGTTAGAGAGGGCTAATGCAGACAGACAATTTTTAAAAAACATTTTGTTTAGTGATGAATGTACATTTACATTAAATAATGAACCAAATGTTCAAAATTATAGGATTTGATCGACAAAAAAGCCTGAGAATATTATTGAAAGCCATACCCAATATCGTCGAAAAATAAATGTCTGGTTAGGAATATTTAGACACAATATTATTGGACCATTTTTCTATGAGGAAAATTTAAATTCAAAAAAGTTTTTAGACTTGCTACAAGAAGAAATTTTACATAGACTTGCAGAATTAGTTCCAGATGAAGAAAAAATTTGGTTTCAAATGGATGGCTGCCCTGCGCATAATAACTGGGAGGTTAAGGAATTCCTTAAAAACAGCTTTAATAATTGTTTGATTGGACCTGACTGTAATATTAAGTGGCCTCCGAGATCGGGAGATCTAGCTCCAAACGATTATTTTATCTGGGGGCATTTAAAATCAAAAATCTATTCTGACCAAAAATTTACAGATATTGAAACTTTAAAAAGGCGAATTATTGAAGAGTGTGCAAAAATAACGTCACGCATTCTGGCTAATGTTAGACGAGAATTTTACAATCGAGTGGGATACTGCTTAGTACAAAATGGCTTATTGTTTGAACATTTGTTATAGTTTTATGTTGAAATTATCATAAATTATATAAATTATTATTAGGAAGGATCACAGTAAAACTATATAGAAATTATTTGATTGTTGTATAACCTGGAATTGAAATGGAGTGTATTATGATATCTTGTGTTAAATAAAGATCTGGCAGTGCTCGCACTATTGCCTTATTGCGATTTTTCGTGAACTGATTACATTTCATCAATTTTATTGCTTTGTAAACAGTATAATTTATTGTTTACAAAGTACTAGTTACTGTTCACTAGTAGTAGTATTTGTGAAAACTTATGCATTTTAGTATTTGTGTATGATTTAATCACAAATTAAAAATATTGACAATTCAAATAATGTCAAATAGTAAAAACATAAATATGACCAAACGCAACACGTCATACACATTCTTGTACCTTGTGTGGCCTGACTTTAAGGGGTGACCTAAAAAATGTATTATATTTTTACAAAATTTTGGGATACATTTAATTCGTAGAACAATTTTAACATTTGTTTTTAATACATATTTTAGTTCTTTACAAATAGTTTCCTATGAATTTTGATGTAAAATAATTAGGGAAGCAGGAATTTAACAATTTAGAATTTTCCATTGAATTTCCTATGGACCGTTTGGCGTTTCACCACCCGGTATAGAAAGAAAAGATAAGCGTCAAGAATAGGGAAAAAGAAAAAGGACAAATTAATCAAAATACTGGCATAAAACATTACTGGGAAATTGAAGCTAGAGAGGGAAAGAAACAAAAAGATTATAAATTTATTCGAGGGAAAACAAATAAGGCAAATTACACAAGACCGGAAGGCATGGAAGAAAAGGCCATAAAAAAGCAAGAGGAGATCAGATAATAATTACTGCATAGTAACTCTATCATTCCACGCCAACGGATCTTGCGATAGGATCTCTTCAATGTCAGATTATTCAGAGTCGTCTATTGATTCGACTGCCATCGCTCGAGAAGCTTCCACTTCTGGTTGCACCCTTCTGGTTGCAAAAAACTAAATAATTCATGTTTTTGTTGTTTAGAAATTTAGAATACAGACTGATTTTTATCATATCCAAAAAAAACTCGTCCTCGGTAAGCCATGGAAGAAAAACATATTACTTAACTTGTGTCAGCTCAATATTGCCATGAAGGTTCATTGGGATAAAATTTCATTCGTGATCATTCTCAGCCGACACAAGCAAAGCCCTATGTTTCACTTATGCTTCACAGCATGAAGCATAATTTTAGCCCTTCCCATGTCCACGGCTTACTGAGTACGAGTTTTTATTTAATTCTCATGATAATTGTGGCTTGTGGCATTTGCTTTAGCCATTTTAATTTAAAGAGAAATAAGATTGATTGCGAATTGTGACTGACTATATGACCTTATTTGATTATATACACCTAAGATATTTTTTATTTTGAGTTTTTATTTTATTAATTTGTATTAAAAAGCTTAAGCGATAAATGAGCAAAAAAAAACATTACAATCGTATTTTTATTTTGATTCCACATTTTGCTGGATCCAGCTGGATTCAGGCCAATCTTGCAAAAATCCAGCTGGACTGAAAATGCTGATGGATTGCAATCCCTAGATGAGATAGCAATAACGCAAAAGTTGGAAATTTCAAATGAAAGAACAGATAAGGATAATCTAGAGCTGTTATGGAACTTTTTCAAGGAAATTATAATAAATACAGCTAAATAAATATGCGGGATAAGCAAGAAAAACAATAAAGGGAAACAAATGGACTGGCGGAATGAAAAACTGGCTTCGTGTCTTCCAAGCACGAAAAAGACGAATTACAACAAATAACATTACTTAAACAAAGATTATTCAGTACATTGTATGATTTGAAAAATATCAAATATTAGAAAACTAGCCTTAGTTTTACTGGCTTTATACGAAACAAAGAAATGAAAATGAAGCTTCCATGCTTTTTCAAACTGTCAATAATAAATATAAATAAAAATCCCACCTTCTCGATGCACTTCTCCGCCTGCTATCAGAACGCCTCCTAGATGTACTCCTCTTCTTTCTCGGACTGTCTTTACGTCTAGCTGATTTCGACCTCGACCTTTTTCTTTTCACGTCTGCCTCGCTGTCAGAACTGTCCTTATTAGATCTATAATGTCGCTTTTTCTGAACGCTGTCTTCTTTCTTACGAATTTCGAAATTCTCCTTCGAGCCAGAAGACGATCTCGATCTCCTTTTGACCTTCGCCTCCTTTGAAGCTGATCTCCTTCCTTTGAAAGAACGGCTCGATGATCGAGATTTGGACCTGGATTTTGATCGAGGCCCTCGTGATTTCGAACGGGTATGGGACCTAGTACGGGAACGTGATCTCGAGACCTTCTTGTTCTCTGCCAGAGACATCAACTTCGCTTGAAGCTTGGACACTGGCAGCGCTGGTGCTGAATTACTGTGGAAGTTCATAAGAAATAAAAAATTAGAATACTTTAAAATTTAGCGGAATAAATGTTTTATAAAATGCATATAGTTTTAGTCAGAATCCAGAAATCTAGGCAGTAAATTCTTGGAAGTATTAGTGATGGTTCATCGCTATTGTAGGTCTTCCAATGGCGCACGAAAAATGTCATAAAACGTTTACGACAAAGCTAATTGTATTAAATAAATATGTACCTATTTATAATTATGTTAATTTTAACATGATTATTATTGACATTCGGTTATTATATACAAATTAATATAATATACATGGTGTTTGGTAACGAATGACTATAACTTAATCTTAGATTCCTGAGATTAGAAATAGGTCGATTTAATATAACTTATTTTAGTTAAGTAAGTTGACCAAGTTGATAATAACCAAAATAAAGGGTGTCAAAGTTAAACTTTTATTTTTGAATATTTCGTGACAGGCATGGGATAACAACACGAAACTTGGTAAACCGGAGTTTTTTGGGACGAGAAATCTAAATTCGCCACTAAAAATGATGAAGGACACCACATACGTCTTCAGTGCTCGTTTAATACGTTCAATTTTTTTATCTCCCACTCGACATACTTTTAGAATCAAAACTTTTATTCTCTTAATATTTTCACTTAGAAAAGATATACTACATCGCCATACAACCCAATACTCTCTACTATTGCTTTATAAATTTGAATTAATTACAATAAATAATAATTTTAGGTTAGAAGGTAATAGTTATACCTCCCTAAAACCGCGATAGTCGGTGAAAGTAGGCTACTCAGGAATTCAGTTGAAGGGCTTAGAATAAAAGGGGTCCAAGTGCATTTTTTTTAATATCGAGTTAAATACAGATTTGAATACCTAAAGTATAGTATTATTAATTTTAAAATAGATCTAAGTGATTTCATACATAGATTAAGATCTACTGGGGTTTGAAAAAAGTTTTGTAAATAAAAGTATAAAAACCTTCAGTTTAAAATGGATCCAAGCGCACTTGGTTCCCTTATATTCCAACTTCCAACTTAAATTCAGTCAGTATACTTTGACTTATATGTTGTAACGTATATTATCACCTTCGATATTTATGGCCTAAATTATAGCCTAAAATAAAACGATAGAAATAGTTTAAAAATATTTATATAAAATGTATTATAGCAGTGGCAGTGAAGGTAAGTAGGTTTTTATTTATTAAGTTTTAAAATGAAAGTTCAATTCGGACTGAGTATCTAATCCTTATCGTCAGAAAATGTAAACTTCAAAAAAACACGTAAAAATAGCAGAAATGAAAGCAAATGGAAAATTAACAAGAGAAAAAAATTACGTAATACTGGAATGACATATGTGGCTCATAAAGGGAAAAACCATGCTGCACAATCTGTCCAGGAATACAACCATAACTGCAGGTATAAATGCAATGAAAACATCTCGGAAGAAGAACGAATTCAGTTGTTCAAAAGCTTCTACAAACTGGCATCATATGATCTTCAAAATTTCTTTTTATCTTCCTGTATAAAAAAGAAGAATGTAGCTAGATCAAAATTGACAGAAAAAAATAAAAGCTACAGCACAGAGATATTTCTTTTAAATAAACGAGTCTGCAAACTGTTCTTTCTTCGAACATTAAACATAAGCAATAAGAGATTTAGAACTGTTTGTAAGAAAACTGATCAGGTTGGTGTATGCGAAAAAGATCGAAGAGGGCAACAATCTACTAAAAGAATGGATCCACAGAAACATAATAGTGTTATTGAGCATATAGCCAAATTCCCAAAATATATAAGTCATTATTCAAGGAATTCAAATTTGAATACAAGATACTTGGCACCAGATTTGAATTTAAACAAAATGTACCAGTTATATGTTCAACAATGTGAGGAACTACATGAGGATACAGTGAAGCTCTCATATTATAGACATATTTTTAATACAGCATTTAACCTAAGATTTCATAGGCCAAACTCAGATACATGCAGTAGATGTGACGCCTATAGAAATATTATAAATATTCAGCAGATGCAGAAAAAGTAAAAATAGCCAAATTTGATCAAGAGCTTCATCAACGGAAAGCAAAGATGGCTGAAACAATGAAAAAACAAGATAGTGAAAAATACAAAGCATCTGTAGATACGAACGTAATCTGTTTTGATCTTCAGCAAACCCTTCCCACTCCCTTAATAACTACTTCCAAAGCGTTTTATTTGCGACAGCTTTGGACGTATAATTTTTGTGTTCACAATGTAACCACAGGAAGATCAGAAATGTACATCTGGGATGAATCCATTTCAAGCAGGGGATCTCAAGAAATTGGTTCGTGCCTCATTCATTTTGCAAATAACGTACTCTCTAAATGTGTTACCAAGATCATCGCATATAGCGATTGCTGTGGTGGACAGAACAAAAATAAAAACATTGTAAAGCTGTTTATGTTCTTGGTTAAATCTACTCATATTCAAGCTATTCATCACAAGTTTTTGGAACCAGGCCATACATTTATGGAGTGCGATAGAGATTTTGGTATAATTTAAAAAGTGAAGCGTAAGAATCCACAGGTATTTATTCCAGAGCACTGGGCCCAGCTAATTCAATCAGCTTGCAAAAAATTTAATGTACACTGAATGAATCAAGAGAACTTTTACAGTTTTGAAACAATAAACAAAGTTATAAGTGATCCCAAAAAAGACAGTAAAGGTGTTCTTTTTAAATGGAGACCAGTGCGGTACTTTTTGTATGAAAAATCTTCCGAAACATTTTCGTTTTCTTTTAAGGAAACATTAAATGAAGAGTTTTTATTTTTTACATGTGTATGTGTACAAAAAGGAGCTGGACGTCCTACTATTACCATGGAAAATATGTTTAAAAAAAATCTTAACGCTCAGCCGATAAAAATCAATAAATTGAAATGGGACATTATTCAAAAACTTCTCGATTTTATTCGACCGGTTTACCACGAGTTCTACAACAACCTTCCCAATGAACACAAGAAAAAATTAAAAACTAAGACCGCCAACGAAGCGTCTGAAGAAGGTATTCAAGAAAAAACTGAAACGTTGGAGTCGGCATCGCAGCAAATTAAGTTTGGCGAAGACATGGAAGATACAGCAGTGCTGGACTCTGATTATGAGTGAAACTTGCTTAGTGAAAAGATATTTTTGGCAATCTTCTATTATTTTATCGTTTCATATTGTAAATAAATAATTTACCCAATAAAGGTTTAAACAAACATTTTCAAAATTTACCTCTTTTCCTGCAGATCCTACGAATGCATTTTAGTCCAGATAATAATTGGTTGACCGTTCAGAATAAGAGGGGTCCAAGTGCTTTTTTTCAAAATAAAGGTGAATTGGTTATTTTTTTGAAAATGTGTGTAGGTATAATATTTTTCTGATCCCTTAGTAATATAATAATACTATGAACGACTGTAGCTAATGTACAAGGAATTTTTATTATTCAAAAAACTTTGACCTTAAATATCTCAAAACTAGTAAAATTGCACTTGGATCCCTTTTATTCTAAGCCCCTCAGTTGTTTTGCTATCGAAGTAAACAGTGGTGGGATGACGATGAGTAGAATACTATTTTGCTGACGACACGTTGCCTAGTAACCGTCGATTCTATTCGTCGTTGCTATGCAATGTGACTTCGGCAAAATAGTATTCTACTCATCGTGGTCCCACCGCAGGATATGACTCACACATCGATAAGATTTTCTAAGCAGTGAACACGTATTTTAGTGTTGTGAGTAATATTGGAAGTGACAACCAACACCATCACCCATACACACACCCATACACTTACTCACCACACTACAACAAAACAACCCACAACAATCACCACACGTCACCAAAAACTAGAGAATCGAGGACGTCCCTCCAGACACCTGTCAGCAAAGAACATTCTATCAAAGACAACAATCTAATCCTAGATTTAGACTGAATAAAAGTCTTCCCAACCCAAAATACAGCTTTCATACGAATCACCAATCTTCTAGACGATCTTCATATAGACAGCGATTCGGGTTTTTTGGACAATGGCTTGTTACTATTCGAATCCAAGAAAACCAACGATTACCATGAGGAAATGGACGCTCAAAGATTCGAAGGTTGGTTTTCAAATATTCTACCAAACCTTGAAGAAAATTGTGTCGTTGTGGACAATGTGTCATACCACGGTCGACGGTTGGAGCCATCACCAACGACTGCCTGGCGAAAAGGTGAAATAATCAACTGGCTCTCTCAAACAAATATACCATTCGATGACAACATGTTGAAAGTACAATTATTAAACCTCGCGAGGATACATATACCTGTTTTCAAGAAATATGCAGTCGATGAAATGGCTCGTGCAAACAACATAATTGTACATCGCCTCACTCCTTATCATTGTGAGCTGAACCCTATCGAGCTTATATAGGCTCAAATAAAAAACCAAGTGGCAAGAGAAAACTTGAGCTTTAAAAATAGAGTAGGTGAAGTGCGTGTTAGCTACTACCATACAAAATGTCACATCTGAGTGTTGGAAAAATTATATAAGACACACTATAAAAGAAGAAGATAGAATGTGGAACTTAGACACAAGAGTGGACATTTCGGTTGAACGTCGAAATGAAGATGCAACGATCAGAAAAATTTTTGACCAAAGAGGACCAGTGGGAAGACGATGAGAGGAAGACCAAAACTTAGGTATCAAGATAACATAGAGGATGATCTAAAATCCATCGGAGTTAAAGCATGGAGAAGAGTTGCCAGAGACAGGGGCGAATGGAAGATTGTTCTGAAGAAAACTTTGGCTCATTCTTCTTCTTCTTAGGGTGCCTGTCCGTTCCGAACGTTGGCGATCATTCTGGCTATAATGATTTTATTTGTTGCTATACGAAATAGCTGTGTTGAGGTGTTTCTATACCATGCTGTCAGCCTTAGCAAGCCAGGATATTCTTCTTCGTCTTGGGGCTCTTTTTCCTTCAATTTTACCCTGAAAAATGCATTGGAG